TCTTCAAAGATCCTATTCCAAGCAAAGACACATTCACAGGTATCAGGGATTGAGAATTCAATAGTTTCAGTAGGAGCAGGGATACAATTCAATCCATGATAGTTAACTTTGAAGACAGTGGGCTCTGAATTATCCATTGCCTGAGTCCTGTGGGGGAAACTGCCAGTGGAACTAAAGTTATTTCCTGGCTCTCCAGAAAGGTAAACAAAGATAATGAGGAAATGAGAAAGAGCCCTAGTTATGCAAGTGGTTAAGCATTCAACTACTAGACAAAATGTTGTTGCTGTTGTTAGGTACCGTCTAGTAAGTTATGACTCATAGTGACCTTATGCACAACAGAACGAAACACCGCCTGGTCCTGTGCCATCCTCACAATTGGTGTTACGCTTGAGTCCATTGCTGCTGCCACTGTGCCAGACTCATTGGAGCTCTTCCTCTTTTTCACTGACCCCTCCCACCCCACCCCCACCCCACTTTGCCAAGCATGAGGTCCTTCTTTAAGGAGAAGTTATCAGGGATACTTTCTGATAGTGGGGAATCACCCTGCTGATAATATGTCTCTCAGAAGGATGAGAGATGAAGTATGATCATCCTGGCTTCTAAGGAGCACTCTGACAGTACTTACTGTAACCCAAAGGTGGTGGCTATGTGCTGTGGAGTTGGTTCTGACCCATAGCAACCCTGCATAGGGTTTCCAAGGCTGTAATTTTTATAAGAGCAGAAAGCCTCATATTTCTCCCATAGAGTAATTGGTAGATTCAAACTACTGACCTAACCAAAAGGTTGTTGTTGTTGTTAAGTGGGTTTACAAGAAGTGGCTAATGAGCTTGAAGTGCCAACCTTGCTGTTCAAACCTTTGTAGTCCAGCGCAGTAATCCACAGCACCACATCAGGACTCCAATCACAAGGTTGTTGTTTGGAAGTGCTGTCAAGTCCGTTCCGACCCATAGTGACCCCGTATAGAATTTCCGAGGAGCAACTGGTGAGCTTGAAATGCCGACCTTGCCATTCAAATGGCTTTGCAGTCTGGCGCATTAACCCACAGCACCACACCAGGTAGGCGGTTCAAATTCACCAAGTCATTGGGGAGAAAGATGTGGCCGTCTGTTTTCATGATATTTTTGTTGTTGTTGTTAAGTGCCGTTGAGTCGGTTCCGACCCATAGCGACCCTGTACAGGGTTTCCGAGGGTATAAATCTTTACGGGAGTAGAAAGCCTCATCTTTCTCCCACGGAGCTGCTGGTAGTTTCGTACCTCTGGCCTTAAGGTTTGCAACCCGATTCGTAACCACTACGCTACCAGAGCTCTTGAAAATACTATGGGACAGCTCTCCTATGTCCTACAGGGTCAGAAGCAACTCAATGACAATAGTTTAGGGAAATGAGGGCAGACCCACAACAGTCTTTGCGTTTGGAGCAGCATCTCTGAATTCTCTGGGATGCCATGAGTGATGGAGAACAAATTTAAGTCATAGTGAGCATGGCTCTCAGTCCAACCCAACATCAGCACCAAGAAGGATAAAATCAAATAGAAAAACTTCCCTACCAAAAAAATAATAAGCAAAAGCAAAACCATGGCAACAAATGTCCAATTCAAACCTTCCCCTTTTGCAAAAATGCTTGGTATGAGACACCATACTAGGTTATTTGAGCTTCCTTATCTTCCCTTTTTGAAATCCACCTCAGAATATCCTGTTGTGCACATAATGGGAGTAAGACACAGGGGGGTGGGAAAGAATGCATTCCAAACATCCACCCAGTCATTTTATTCCCAGGAAACTTACTGAACAGTCACTGGGTCCGCGTAAAGCTCCTGTCAAGGCAGGACTCCCCCTCTGGAGACAGACTTTCTGTTAAATGCCCACTCTCCATAGGATAAATAGGAGCTGTGTCCTCATGTAAGAGAAGAAGAATTAAACTAAATAAACCCTGAGATACAGGCACAAAATGGTTACTAAAGGTAATCCATTGTAATCATGCACAGGAGATGTCAGAACCCATTCCCACTCATCCCCTTCAAGAGCACAATTTCAATGGCCTTATTGTGGGGAATCACCATATGTGTCAATCCTGCTAGTTTACCTCCAAAATTAACAAGGCTTTCTAGAGGCTGCCTCCCCTCAGCTGTCAAAATCCTAACTGTGCTGAGCACAGAGCCTGAAGGGACTGTGGGGGAGGAGCCCATCATAGGTGGGAGAGCTGTGATGTCAGACTCAGACCCCTTGGGCTGGGCAGATACTGGGAGTTGCTGTCAGGTCTAAATATATCCTTTTAAGAAATTTACTTAGCCTCTCTTTGGCAAGTAGATTTTGGCCTATATTTTAAATCCACGTCAAGATGTATATTCATCATATATATTCAGTCATTTTCTCACTCAAGGGTACCTGCTGACAGTGTGGCAGTGCATCACTGTGAACACAGAGTCAGATACACGGCTCTTGGTCTGTTCCACATGGGTATATTGAGAAAACACACAAGGGGCATCCGTTGCTGGGCTCTTAGGGAGCGTGCAGCCACAAGTTGAGATCAAGTTTGTGGGTTTTGGTCAAATCCTGCCTGTCAAAAGAGAAAATACAGTCACTACCCACAGAGTTAAACTCGAATGAGTTTCTGAGAGGAATGATAAATGGGATCCTGTCCTACAAGATACCTGTAAACAATTAAAGATTTATTGATTGAGTCCTGTATTTATTCATGTACCAAAAATCTGTTGCCATAGAGTCAACACTGACTCATAGATACCCTATCAGACAGAGGAGAATTTCCAGTAGCTTAGCGGATTATGCATTGCACTGCTAACTATACGGTGAGCAGTTGAAATCCACCAGTGCTTCTGTGGGAGAAAGATGAGGCTTTCTGCTCTTGTAAAGATTGACAGCATCAGAAACCATACGCAGGGTCACTATGAATAGGAACTGACTCTACAGCACTCTGCAACAGCCACAGCAACAATCTTTAAGAAAATAGACTGCTCATCTTTCTCACGATGAGCAACTGATGCATTTCAGTTAGCAGCCGAGCACTATCAGGGCTCCTGTTATTTATGCACAACATCACATTTATTCTTCACAGGGAAACGTGGGAGGTAGATGTTACTAGTTCCATCTTTGCAAATAAGAGAACTCGAGCTCAGAGAGGCTAAATGCCTTGCTCAAAATCACCCAGATAATAGGTGTAGCTAAGATAGAAACCCAGGATTCTAGGACTTCAGATCTTTTTCTTGCCAGTCACATGGTGTTTCAGGAATTTAGCTGGTGAGATAGAAGCAAGCCTGTGGCTAGCATGGAACAATAGCTGGAAGAAGTCAGTGAGGGAAGATGGTGAATACCTCTTCCTCATTTAAGAGACCAGCAATTCCCTGCCCAGAGTAATCTCAGGCCCCCACAAGGTTCAAGGGAGTTAGCGCTGAACCCAGTGTGAGGACTTCTGGATTTCTGAACGGCTCCTGGTAGTTCTCAATGAGTACTGGGATCCTATGTTGTCTTCAAGGGGATCCATTCAAGTTAAACACAAAGGATGCCAGAAATCAGGGCAATGGAAGAAAGAAGAGTGATCAATATTGAAGACACCTGAGAACAATTAGTTCAATGGACTAATGGAGCATGTGAGGGTCAGTGTCCATGACCCTGAGACCAGAACTAGATGGTGCCCACTACCACAGCCAACTGCTCTGAAAGGGATCACATTAGAAGGTCCTAGATAGAGTGGGAGAAAAAGTGAAACAAAACTCAAACCATAAAAAAGACCAAGTTTACTGCTCAGATACACTGGTGGAACCCCAAGACAGTGGCTCTTGGTCACACTTCAGGTCTGGAACTGAAATCATCCCTGGGGTTCAATTTTCAGCCAAGCAATAGATAGGTATACATTGTTTCTGGGGTTAGGTGCCATCGAGTCAGTTCTGACTAATAGCTACCTTGTACAGGGTTTCCAAGGAATGGCTAATGGGCTAATGGGTTTGAACCACCAACCTTGCAATTTGTAGTCCAGTGCTTATTCTACACCTCCATGCCAGGATTCCAGATAGATATGTGTTGTTGTTGTTGTTGTTAAGTGGCATTGAGTCAATTCCAACTCACAGCAACCTTGTATAGGGTTTCCATGGAACAGCTAGTGAGCTTGAACTGCCAACCTTGCAGTTCAAACCAACCTTATAGTCTAGCGCATTAACACACAGCACCACACCAGGACTCCTAGATAGGTATGTTGTTGTTGTTAAGTGCCATCAAGTCGGTTCCGACTCATAGCAACTTTGTATAGGGTTTCCGAGGAGCAACTGGTGGGTGTGAATCGCCATCCTTGCAGCTCAAACTGTAGTCCAGCGCATTATCCTGCAGCACCACACCAGGACTCCAGATAGGCATATGGTGGTGATTATGTGCCACGGAGTCGGTTCCAACTCATAGCGACCCTGTATAGGGTTTCTGAGGCTGTAAATCTTTAAGGGAGCAGAAAGCCTCATCTTTCTCTCATGGAATGGCTGGAAGTTTCAAACTGCTGACCTTGAGATTAGTAGCCTGACTCGTAACCACTACACTACCAGCACTCCTTAGATAGGTATATAGCTACATACACTATTCTGTGGTATATGTATCTCACTAGTGTTTTTGTCTGCTCCTAGGAAACCCTACACAGGGTCGCTATGAGTCAGAACCGACTCGACAGCATACAACAACAACATATAGAGGTACACACACACCATAGAATGGTCAACCATTTGGGATCAAAAGGGCAGCATTTACCTCAGGATGAATTTCAGAAGTGTTGGGAAAGAAAAAAACAAGAAACATAGGAAAGAAGAGAGATAAGTGATGTAACATTGAGGGGGTTGCAATCATTGATATGAATCAAAGTGTATTATTTGTTGAATGTAAAACAGATGATCAGCTCTGTATGCCTTTACTCAAATCACAATTGAAAAGTTAGAAAAAAGGCAGGGCAAGCTCTGAGGAAAGAAGTATATAGGTGCATGATGTGAGGATGGGCGTCTTAGTCCACTAGTTAGATTTCACATTGACTCAGATTCCTGGAACTAAGCCCCGGGGTCTTATTTATTTCCTCCCTAGGCTCTGCCAAGGCTGTGCCGTCCACAAAGCCAGCTGAGCAGGCGCACACGAAGTCCCGCATGGGTATGCCAGCGTCCATCACTGCCAGGGTGGCTGCGTTCACGCAAGCCACATAGGTCCCACCATCTGCCTGCAACACCTGTGTATAGATGTCAGTCTGGGAGTACGGGTGCAGCTGGGTGAGGATGGCGGCATCAAAGGTCTGGCATAGTTGTAGGTCCATCTTGCAGGACCTGTGGTCTCCATGTGGCCGCCTCTTGCGCTCCCTGGTGCTGAAGGTCGCTGAGCTGTACTGAAAGTTCACCAGGGCCCGGTGGGGCAGAGCTCGTTCCCTGGAGCTCTGAATCTCGTGCGGCCCATAGACCACCGCCAGCGCCTTGGTGTTGCCTTGCTCGATCTAGGGCCAGCCATTGGCCAAACCCACCAATAACAGCAGACAACAATACCAGCTCTAGGTATTGACCACTCCCCAGCGAAATCTCATTCTCCGTGCCCTGCATTTTCTTCCTTTAGCAGCTGCTGAGAAGCTCTTTGCCTTAGAACCCACTGACCCCAGTGTCCTGTTTAATTAACCATTTTAAGTTGGAGCGATCTGGAAGCAAAAATAGGAAAGGACCTGGTCCAATAATGTCATTAATATTACATCCAGTGGAAACATCTGTGGCTACATGTCTAGTGTGAAATTCACTGACATGTCTGATGGGACTTTGTAATCACATAAATTCTAATGATTTAAATGTTAGAGAGAAGAGAGTTAAAAATGATAACTTATGATGTATATTTCAGCTTCAAGGACAAACTGAAAAGATGAGTATGTATATGCATGTATATATATGTGTGTGTGTGTGTATGTCTATATATATATATATGTCATTAAATAGAATTGGATTTAATAAAGTTATTAGTGAAGGAGCATGGTGTTAGACAGCTGCTTAATTGTTTGGTTCAAGCATGTTTAAATGTTTAAATGCTTGATTACCTAATGTTTTTTGCATTGTTTTATTCTTTTTTTACACCTTTATGTTAATAGCTACAGATTACTCAAGGGAGCCTGATATATCAAATGAATAATAGAGAGGTACCCACAGAGTGATACAGCCTTGATTTACAGATACTACTGACTGTCCTAGGTAAATGCTGCCCTTTTGATTTCAAGTGGCTGACCATTCTATGGTGTACATACTTCACAAATGTTTTTGTCCCCACTAGTATTGAATGATGCAGAAAGCATCAAAAGAAGATGGAAGGAATACACAGAGTCACTTTACCAAAAGGAAATGGTTGATGTTCAACCATTTCAAGAGGTAGAATATGATAAAGAGCCAATGATACTGAAGGAAGAAGTCTAAGGTGCATTGAAGGAATTGGCAAAGAACAAGGCATCAGGAATTGGTGGAATAAAAATTGAAATCTTTCAAGAAAGTGAGGCAGCACAGGAGACACTCACTCATCTATGCCAAGAAATTTGGAAGACAACTATCTGGCCAATTGATTGTGCCCATTCCAAAGAGAGGTGACCCAACGGAATGTGGAAATCATCAGACAATATCTTTGATATCTCATGTGAGTAAAGTACTACTAAAGGTGATACAGAAACAGCTGCAAGCATACATTGACAGAGAACTTCCAGAGGTTCAAGTCGGATTCAAAAGAGGACATGGAATGAGGGATATCATTGCTGATATCCGATGGATCTTAGCTGAAGCAGAGAATACCATAAAGATGTTTACCTGTGCTTTATGGACTATGCAAAGACTTTCAATTATGTGGATAATGACAAACTATGAACAACATTGCGAAGTGTGAGTATTCCTGAACACTTAATTGTGCTCATGAGAAATCTGTACATGGACCAAGAAGCAGTTGTTCAAACCATCACTCCATTGAATGGTTTAAAATTAAGAAAGGTGTGCAACAGGGTTGTATTCTTTAACCATACTTATTCAGCCTGAGTGTTGAGCAAATAATCCAAGAAGCTGGGTTGTATGAAGAAAAACGTGGCATCAGGAATGGAAGAAGACTCATTAACAACCTGTGATATGCAGATGATACAACCTTGCTTGCTGAAAGTGAAGAAGACTTAAAATACTGATGAAGATCAAAGAGCACAGCCTTTGGTATGGATTGCATCTCAATGTCAAGAAAACAATAAACACTGGACCAATAAACAACATTCTTATCAATAGAGAAAAGATTGAAGTTGTCAAGGACTTCATTCTTCTTGGATCAACTATCAACACTCACGGAAGCAGCAGTCAAGAGATCAGAGGATGTATTGCATTAGGCAAATCTGCTGCACAGGAACTTTTTAAAAATGTTGAAGAGCAAAGATGTCAGCTTGAAGACTAAGGTATGCCTGACCCAAGCCGTGGTATTTTCAATCACTTTATATGCATACGAAAGCTGGACAGTGAATAAGGAAGACCATAGAAGAATTAATGCTTTTGAGTTATGGTGCTGGAGGAGACTATTGAAAGTGCCATGGGCTGCCAAAAGAACCAACAGATCTGTGTTGGAAGAAGTGCAGCCAGAGTGCTCCTTGGAGGCCAGGATGACCAAATTTTGTCTCTCATACTTCGGACATATTGTCAGGAGGGACCAGTCACTGGAGAAGGCTATCATGTTTGGTAAGGTGGAGGATCAGAAAAAAAGAGGAAGACCCCCAGCGAGATGGATTGGCAATATGGCAGCATCAGTGGGCTCAAGCATGGCAAAAATTGTGTGGTTGGCCCAGGATAGGGCAGTGTTTTATTCTGTTGTGCGTAGGATCGCTATGAGTCAGTACTGACTTAATGGCACCTAACAACAGCAACAACATATGCCTATCTGTTGTGTGGTGCTGTGGGTTAGTGCAGTGGACTGAAAATTTGATTTGATTCTCAAGTCAAAGGTTCAAGTTCATCAGCTGCTTCTCAGAAACCCTGTGTCACTATGGGTTGGAACCAACCCCATGGCACTTAAAAACAACAATAACATGCCTCTTTGGAGTCCTGGTGTGGTGCTGTAGGATAAGCAGTGGACTGTTAACTTCAAAGTCTGTGGTTTAAACCAACCAGCTGCTGCTCAGAAACCCTAGGTAGGTTGCTAGGAGTTAGCAGTGACTTCACAGCATTTAGCAACAACAATAAGCGCAGCTGAGTCAGAAGTCTAGGAGAGCTACAGGAGCCAGCTAGACCCTGGCTAGCTAGAGATCCCAGATCTCTAGGCACAGAATCACACCCCTGTCGGAGATGTTACAACAGACATTCCAACATGGTCCTGGAATGGTTAGGGAACTGATCAGAAGAGCTGGGCATTGGGTCACATGTCTGATAGGAGCATTCCATCTCTAGTAGCAGACTGGCACTCGGGAACGGAATGAAAAGCATACTCATGCCTACCAATCAGCCTCTTCTAGAGAAATCCAGCTCCAAATCAGCTCTGCTAAGAAGTTGGGAACAAGCAGAGACTGCCATAAGAGAGGTTAAAGAAGGAACTCTTTTGGGGAAAGTCATTGGAGAATATATCAATCTTGCACAGATCTTGAGACTCAGCCTCACCAGGTGCCAGGCTAAATGCTCCATCAGACAGCCTTATGCATACTAACTCCAAAGGAGCATTTATGAACCTCCACTGTTCTTGTCCACATTGAGCTCTTGTTGGTTTCTGGAAAGGAAAATCAGACACAGAGATCTCTTTACCCCAGACTCTTTCCTTGGGTTTTCTGCTGAGGGTTGGCCACTGATAGAACCCAGCAGACAGAAGAGGGAGGTTCTGCACAGTATTGTGTGTGAAAGACCACATAGAGATAAAGGGAAAAGTTACAGAATTTTTTAATGGTCTTTTTCCTTTCTGAATCATTTTGCAACAATTCCCTCAATAATTTTGGGAGGACTCTAGGGAACCTTAAGGAGTTCTGGTGGTGTTGTTGGATAAGCACTGAACTGTTAATCAAAAGACCAGCAGTTCATACCCACCAGCTGCTCCTTGGGAGAAAGATAAGCTATCTGCTCCCCTAAAGATCTACAGTCTTAGAAACCTTTATAGTCTCACTATGAATGGGAATTGACTCCCTGGCAGTGGGTTTGATTTGTTGACATTACATTAAGTCCATACATTTTTCTAGGCGAACAGGCTATTTTACAATATTCAGTTGTTCCATCTAAGAGCTAGGTGCCTGGCCACTCCTCATGTTTTCTTAAATCTTTTATAAAGCTTGGCTTTTCTTCATATAGTGCACACACCCTTCTCTAAAGAGAGGTTATTGTAAGTAATGTTCTCATTTGTTAATTCTTTAATTTATTCAGTAGTATTGTGCAAGGCACTAAGATTCAACAGGAATAAGGCATCCTCTATCCTTACCTTACATTATTATACTTACCTTTAGGAAGCTTATAGTTTAATGGGGAAGACAAAAACTTAAGCAATGATTAATAATTCCAATGAATAATTTCCTGAAAATGCATGGCAGGGGTACCTACCCAATCGAAGGGATCTGAGAAACCTTTTCTGAGAATAAAATGGAAATGGAAGATGGTTTCAGGACAAGTATTTTTTTAAATATATATATATGTCCATTACAACATTCTAAATGGATATTCCAAATACATTGTTGATGCTAGTTGATGAATCAGCCCCAACTAATGGTCTGCCCTACATCATCTTCATAACTATTGATATAATTGAGTCATAACCATTGATATCACTGCGTCATTCTTTTCTTTCTTGTAAACTTTTTAGTGTGAATCGAGTGAAGGTAAACAGACAATATCATGAGCTTCCTCCCTATTTGCAGATGATATGATCCTATATATAGAAAACCCCAAAGACTCAGTAAAAACGCTACTAGACCTCATTGGAAGATTCAGCAAAGTGGCAGGATATAAGATCAACATACAAAAATCAGTTGGATTTCTCTATACCAAAAACGATAGCATTGA